GGTGGCCCGCGCCCCCCGCGGTGGAACAGAGGGGGGGGGGGGGGCTCTCTCACTGATGGTCCGCAACATTTGATTAAGCAGACACTGTGTGAACACGCCCTAAGAGCTACAAGACAAACTAAACATGAAATACGATTACTAGCTCCGACGGTATGTTTCGCACATCTTTTCAACCTTGCTCTTTGCCTTTGTGCATCCCATGAAATCACATGAACCATTCAGAAAATACAGAATGATCGCAAACAATCCTAAACCTTGTGCTCTTGCATTGCTCCGGATTTATCAAGGTGCATTAGCACCCTCTGGTGGATAAAAACCAAACAGCTTTACAAAGCAGCAAATCGCAAAACAAAGGAAATTACTGTAAAGCGAAATTCATGACACAATCAAGCATTACATGCGAACCTCGTTCCCAGCTCAACCAGGCGCAAGGGACTCGTTCACTGTTTTACGGTACTTACCGCCTTCAGTTTTGTCAGTTTTTACCCCTGAGCACCTTTCTTCTCTGTCCATCGGAATTGTGCGACAATTATTTTCCTCCACCCTTCAAAATAAAAGTGATAGTGGCAAGTCAAAACATGAACCAAAACCAAAAGTTATAGCACGGTTATTTCTAATATCAAACATGAACATTAAAACGTCATTTGCAACCCTGCACTTGTGTAAATCCAAAGTTATCAGCGGAGCTTTACAAGGAGCGATCAGGGTCATACAAGGCATTTACAGTCCATCATACTCAACTCAACCAAAGTGGTCAGTTTTTTTCCCCCTCAGTTGGCTGAAATACCGCACAGTACTGGACTGTGGTGTTTTTACGAGGGTCCCGACATACGCCGCGAGGTTCCGAACGGCGCACAATGAAGTGACATGGCCTCGATGGTCACGTGGCACCAGGACGTGCAGTGACCGTCGTATTAACTGTTTTTATTTCATTGTTTCTTGTCTCCGATGTGCCCTTATTACAATTATCCACCGTAATTATTATTTCAACACTCGCTAAAGCATAAGTATAATGATTTGGGTTACGTGGCCAACCCGGGAAGGGCATTCCATCGTATCGGTAACCCGAGGACCCATCGAATGGAAAGTCATGTCGTAAATACATGCGACCACAAAAAAAAAAAAAAAAAAAAAAGAAGACCATGTCAGTCAGGCGTTTTTAGCCGAAAAGACTACCATGTATAGTCAGGCGTTTTAGCCCAAAAAAAACCCCGACCATCTATTTAGTAAGGCGTTTTTTTTTTCGCGGAAAAAAATGACCATGTTTCGTAAGGCGTTTTTGGCCGAAAAAACGACCATGTATCGTAAAGCGTTATTAGCCGAAAAAAACAACCATGTTTCGTAAGGCGTTTTTTACGGAAAAAACGACCATGTACAGTCAGGCGTTTTTAGCCCCAAAAAACGACCATGTATAGTAAGGCGTTTTTTACGGAAAAAACGACCATGTAAGTAAGGCGTTTTTAGCTCAAAAAAACGACCATGTACTGTAAGGCGTTTTTAGTCCCAAAAAACGACCATGTATAGTAAGGTGTTTTTAACCGAAAAAAAAAAACGTCCATGTATATAATAAGGCGTTTTTCGACGAAAAAAACGACCATGTATATGTAGGTAAGGCATTTTTAGCCCCCCCCCAAAAAAACGACCATGTATAGTCAGGCGTTTTTTTAAAAAGACGTACATGTAAAGTATAGTAAGGGTGTTTTTTGCTATTTTATTTCTATAAATGGTCTTCTGGGGTCATTTTTTGGAATCAAAGCCTGAGCAAAGACGGTGGTGTTTTGTGCGAACAAAGCTCCGGATGAAGGTCGATGCTTGGACCTGACTGCTGACTTTGAAACAGGCACGAATCAGTCGGGTGGTGTCGCGTACCTCCAGATGTTTGGCGCAGAGCAGCTATGGCTTGACTGCATTGTTATTGCAAATTTGCACGGCTGCGGGAGGCCCCACCCTACCCCCAGACGCTAATAACCCCACCGCTCTGCGTCAGGGACACTCACATCTTCCAAAGTGAGAAGGTCACATGATTGAGGGCTTCCTTTTCTTTTAAGTCAATTTATATGATTTTTTTTTTTCTGACAGCAAAGGCGGTCCATACGAAAAAGTCACGGTTTGCTCAGAACCTTGTTTTCGGGGTCGCTCTTCGCCGTCACGTGGGCCAGCAAAAATAAAAACCCAAATTGTTAAATTTGGCAGCATCAAATAGTTTGCCTTCTTTTTGGAGATGATCAGAAACTTAAAAACGTCCACCCACACCGACGGACCTAACTTGGCTGTTTTGGGGAAAGTGGGAGGAAGAGCTCCGTTTCAAACCCCGAACTTCACAAGGGTGAGGTGGACGCGCTAACCCCTCGTTCACGCCGTCACCCCTGTGGTGTGTCCTGTTATTCCAGGATGCTCCATAAGCTTATTATTGAAGTTTTCCCCAAAACAAAGCGCGTTGCTCCATTGGATGTCATCAGGTTTCGTGTGCATGCGCGCGCGCGTGTGTTGGCAGACAGCGGGATGACGTCGTCAGGCGTGGTAATAACAATGAGAACACGATTGAATCCAGACGACAAGGTCGTCTTTCTCTCTCTCTCTCCCACCATGTGTAAAATATCTGAGAGAATCAAAGAAGTTACGAGTTGAAACATTTTGCGCCGAGTGTGTGTGTGTGTGCGAGTGTCCACTAGCTGTTTGTGTGCATGGACAGTGTGTGGGAAAAGACGACAAAAAAGTCCACTGGTGGAGTTTCCTGAGTGCAGTGGAGCAGTGTGGACTGGATAGGAAATGACTCATGGTGTGTGCGCGCGCGTGCGCTTGTGTGTGTTTGGGAGAGAGAGAGAGAGAGAGAGAGAGAGAGAGAGAGAGAGAGAGAGAGAGAGAGAGAGAGAGAGTGAGAGAGAGAGCGCGCGCGTGTGTGTGCGC